ATCTGCTCTCCACTTCTGACAGAAAAGACTTTCATGCTCAGGGTAAGTATCTTTAGGGAAGACTGGTGTCAGTAGTAATAATCAAATGATAGAGATATTTTCTTGTAGACTTGCTAGTGCAGATTTTTGTCTGAACCTCCTTAGTTGTAATGAAAGGTCTGCACAGGTACACCCCTTTGGCAATACCATCAAGTCAATGAATTTCTGTTAACATATTATCTGAGACAGTTGTAACCTGTCTATTCCCAAACCAGATTGCTAATTTACTTTCAATAATGAACTTCTTTCTCTGTAGAGGGCTTTTTGACACAAAAATTTGTTTTGCTCACACCAAAAGCAAGCTGACATTCAGATTTGTCCCTCCAGGGGCAGTTATTTCTTTTTTCCATTTCTGAGATCAGTCATATGAGGCAGCATCCACCACTCAAGCTACTGCAATCACCTCCTGAACCAAGTGATGCCTGGACTCAAAAGTCTAGAGGCAATGCCTGCACTCACTCATGCCCGTAAAAAAATGCAAAGGCATTTTGCTAAAATAATGGAAACCTGGGTTATGTTGGCCTTTAGGAGCCAGGATTTTCATAGGCTGTTTCAATACCTGACATATTTCCCAGCAACAGATGCTGGAGCTCTATATTCAGCATGTTTCAGCCTCCTCTGGGAACTACAGGGTGCTTCTCCTTCTCAGGTATTTTTTGGCCTTTTTGATAAATGCTGTCTAAAAATGCTGCATTTTGAAATACTGAAAGCTTTGTAAAGGCAGACACTAATTCTGCCTTTGAGGACTGTCTGTGGCCATGGTGGCAACAAGAAGAAGGCGGACAAAGGTTGGCAGGCCTGTCCAGTTGCACAAACTCCAAAAAGCTGATCTTCCCTCCCTCTGCCCAGGCAAAGCCAACTTTACTCCCTATCTCTCTCTACATTTTCTTATAATTGAAATCTCATGGAATTTTTATTTTGCATTTATTTATAGAAAATCCACTCTCCTTCAAGAGCAAACTTTTTCCATTCCTATCACATTAGTGCCAAGTTCTCTCTTCAACAAGGATTTGTTTCATCTGTATCCTTCTTTTAATATACATTTGGCTTAAAAGTCACAAATTATCACTTGCTGGCATCTTTATTTTGTATCAGAGGAGATATATATTTCATTATATATATCATATATTTCATTAATTGAATTTCTGCCTATTTTTCTGAGTAATTAAATAGGTCTATAACCCCACTGTTGCCTAGCAATGCTGACACAGTATGACAGTAAACACACCGCTGCTTAGTAAAAAAATTTAGAAGACTATTAAGAAGGCAGTGACAATGACAAGCTTGTACACAGCTGTGAGTGAAGGTTGTTTAGGATAGTTTTCAGAAATTATCTTGGTGTCGTTTGGCTCAGGAGCATTTGTCAGTGAAAGAACACAAGTATCTTACGCTTGAGCCACCAACTTTGTAAGGAGTGGTGAGGATACTCAAAGTAATGAGGACACTAAGGTTTAGAGCAATGCATTGGCTATGTCAGATTTCTGTACCTGACATTCACCACTTAGGATGGCAATGATGCAATCCAGTGACACGGTTTGAGGTGCAAGCTTGCCAAAAGCAGCCAGGGAATGTGTGATCTGCTGAGATCTCATTGCTGAAACCAGCTGACTTCCACACACTGACCTCTACTACAGCAATTCAAGTTACATGGCAAATGAGGATTTCAAGATGCCTTGGTCATGGATAATTGCATCTGAGATGATACAAGGGTGAGGAGGATTCATTTACCAGTGGCAAAAGGTCTGCTGGTAATTCATTATCTCTCCACCAGGTTTATAGTGCTGGCATGTCAGGGCTTTGTGCAAAAAGAGGCTTGTAAGAAAAACTGCTGTGAAGGTGTGAAAAATATAAAGTCTAGTTATTGAAGGTGTGATGAACATAAGAGAACAAATTAATGAGCAGCACATTTAGTGTCTAAATCACTAATAAAGCTTTGCACTAGGTATTTGTGTCTCTGGAGAGGATATAGCAATACTTTGTCATAATTTGTAGGTTTGCTGCATTTTGCTTTCATGCTGTCTGATCATCAGCACAAAGCACATTATTTACTTGGTGGCCCTATGTAAAGTCTGCAGGACAAACCCTTGAGACATGTGTGGTCATATTGAGAGAGCCTGGTCCTTTGCAGAGATGGGATAAGCAACACCCTCTGGGAGCAGGCAGCAGAGGACTGAAGGATCCTCTGAGAAAAGTTAGTCCGGTACTTTTAGGATTGAACAGACAAGAGATATTTCTAAAACCTGAGGAGGCCATGAGGGCATTGAGTGGGAGAGTGTTTCTATAATTAAAGGCATTGAGAAATCTGACTAAATTTGGTCCACACAGGCAGCTGGGTGCATCGGCTTTGGTACACACGTGTGTTGTGTTCAGGGGCACGTGCTTGGAGGCTCATGCCGAGCCCTCCACAATTCTGAAATTCAGCACAGGGAGCTCTTAAAACATACTGCTGGGGGAGAGGAGCTGAAGCTGCCAGCACAAAAAAAGCTGTGAAGTTTAAGCCTCATTTAAAAGCCTCTGCAGTCACCTGAAAAACCTCACTCAACAGCTCTCAAGGGAAAGACAATTCTGAGTTGTCTTTCAAGCTCCTGAAATTCTTAAGGCTATAGATATATTTGTAGGTAATGACACACAGTGGCTAGAGGCCTATAGCATGAAAAAGAGCTGATATCCAAATTCCATATTTCCTGTTGCTGCATAAACTTTGCTCCTGAGCCTGAGCACTGGCTGGTAGTTGCATGGTGTGGGATGCATGGAGGGCACCCCTGGAGAATAATGTTGGGCCAAGCATCAGCTGAACAAAGGCCCACTCCCCTGTGGCTCTCCATCACGTGAGCCAGTGAAGTGGTGGCCATCCACAGGTTAAAATCACACTCCTGATGCAAACTAAAAAGCTGACGTGGATGTAAGCTTAAAATGTGCTGTCTGGGACTGCCAAATTTCTTTCCTGAAGGAAACTACCAGGATACTGTCCCATCTCCCACCACAGCTGCAGGATGCACCTCTAAAGCACACTCCAATGCATTGATGCATTGAAAAGGGATAGGAAGATGGCCGTAAGAAGAGGGAAATGAGGAGAGAGCTGAGGTGCTGTCCCTTCTCCCTCCTTTTCCTCTTCAGAGCACTGAGATTGGCAGGAGGAAGGGCAGCCTCTGTGCCCTCCCCCTCCTGAGGGGAGCTGAACCCTGATTTAGCACCTGCTTGGCAGATGCTCAGACCATCAAAAGCCAGAGGATGCCCTGAGGTGAAGCTCTATTGATGTGTAATACTTTGAACCAATATATATTTCATTAGTGTAGAGAGAGAGAACATGAATCAATAATTCAGGAGTAAAGAAAGGGAAAGGGATCGGTTGGAACCACTGCTGGAGGATGCATTTCACTTTTTGAAACACTTAAACTGTGTGGTTTTTTCAAAGACCACCTTAATTATATACTTGCAGTCTTTTCAGTATAGTCTTAAAGCCACTGTACTCATCAGAGGAACAATCACTCCTTACCACATCACCCTAATCAATGAACGATATTTAACATAATGTTTCAAACCACAGACTTCCTTCTGGAGATTTCCCCTGATCCAGCCTCTCTTTGGAGGCAGGGTAATGCTGCGAGAATAAAGAGCAAACCAGTATTAATTGAACAGTAGTCATAAGGAGGGAGGCAATGTAGTTACACTAATTTAATTTTGAACTGAGCCTTGAAGAAGAAGATAAATGAAACAAGAAAATGAGGAGATAAAGGATTTACTGATACAGAAAAAATAAGGCTGATTTTCCAGTGAAGCAAAACAGGTTGCTTTCTCTGAAGCATTAAGCTGAAATCTCAATTTCCAGCTAGAAATATCTGGAATTTCTGTAATTTCAAAGGGCTTAGAAGAAACCTATTTTGCAAAACACATGCCTATTTGCTTGGAAATAATGACCCAAACTGTTTATTTCTCAAAATATTTTTTTTTTTAATTGTTGAAATATCTTTTTTCCAAAGGCATAAATTTCAAATCAAAATCTTCTGATATGGGCAATAAAATATCTTTATCACACTAAACTTTAGAGATGGTTTTTGAATGTGTAAAATGGTGGTAGCAAAATGAAATACTTTACCTCACCACTTTATTTATTTTTTTTAATAGAGACCGAAGCTGTTTCTTCATATTGATTGATTTTGGAAAAATTGCATGAAAAGTTTTCCTAACCTGTTTTCTCCCTTTGTGGTAACCTGTGCAAGAAGAACAACATGACACATTACTTGAAGTGGCAGGACATCAGACTGGTACACACTTTCTTCCATAGACTGCACTGAAAACATTTATCTTGTCCAAGTGAGACAAGCTGGTTTTGAAGACAAAACTTAATATCACCCATATGTAAAACAGGAGTACCAGTTTTTGTGATTCATTTGTAAAACGTGCATCTCTGTGAGCACTCACTTGTTCAATAAGAAACAGAACAAAGGCTGGAATATCTCTTTACGTTTTCTTGCAGAAGGAAAAAAAAAGAAGAAGAAGAAAAAAGAAAAAATAGCCTGAGGTGTATTTTATTTGGCAAATATAAAAGCACAGGCATAAGGAGGTTAACTTCAAGCTGACAAGGCATGGTTAATCAACAATTAATTAAGTTTGCAAATTAACTCCTGACAAAATTTCCACTAACTTTAGCAGTATTTGGTTGCCACTTCAGGTGATTTTGCAGGAGACTTTCTAAAGTGAAATAACATATAAAGAATAAAGGATGTTTAGTGGTTCAGTATTTGTCACAGCTGTAATCAAACTGACACACTTAGACACAGATTATGGGGTGTTTTCTGAGGCTCTCCCAGCTCCTCTAGCATACTGGGCTGAATGGTTATGGCTTGACTGCCCCTAGGACTGGGGAGCTGATACATCCCAAGGGCCCTACCTGCCTCTGTAGTTCACCTGAAGTCATGCATTTGCTTCTTCCAATGTTTCTTCCCTTAATTTCTTTGTAGATTCATTCACAGGACTCATCAACATAATGACTGACATCATTTGGCGCTACACTGGAGATTTTATGGCTCCTGACATCGTTTGCAGGGTCGTTCGCTACTTCCAGGTATAAAAACCTCCTGCTTTGTGTCCCCATAGCAGTAAACTCTGACAAAAACACTGTGTAGAATTTTTTCTAGCAACAGAAGTCCTAAATGTTGAAAATGTTCATTTAAAGGTCAAACACATTAAAGCATATTAAATATTTTAAATTTTGTGGACAAGAAAAAGGAAAAATACCTGGGTGAATATACAAGGTGGGGGGCTAGGGGGTGGGGAGTTTCCTTTTTTTGTTTTCCCAGTAAGTTTTGAAACATTCCTAGTTCAGAGTTCTCATTGACATCACCTTCTGCAATGGATGAGTCTCAGCTGTTGTCTCATTATACTTTCTGCCCCAGGTGGTCCTTCTCTATGCCTCAACTTACGTCCTCGTGTCACTAAGCATAGACCGATATCACGCCATAGTTTACCCCATGAAGTTCTTGCAAGGAGGTAGGAGAATTTTCGTACCTTGTTATTGCTATAGACATTATTGGATAATTTTTTAGTTCTCAAAATTTCTTGTTGCTATGAATTATTCATTCCTGCTCTACCTACATTTGAACTCTGTTACAGTTTTCCAAAGAAAGAAGTAGCTGTGGTTTCAAGATTTATTAAACTTCACTTAGCCCTCAGCATTTTTTATAACTATTGTGTTAGCAAAGAATGAAACGACATTTTAAAAAGTATAATGGTTTTCATTATATTCCTGCATTTTTAGAAGGTTTTAATGGGCAAAAGCTATCCCTTGTTCCACTATACTGACTGTAGAAGCTGCAACATATATACTGTCTATTTATTCACATCAAAAAATAACTTGGATGGAAGGTGTGGTACTGAGAATTCACACAATAGTTTGATGTATCTTCAGAAGATATAGCGTATAGGTTTGGATATCTATTGTTTCTTATAATTTCCTCTGTTTGTTTGGCTTCAGGTTTTTTTTTTTTTTTTACAGTACTCAGACATATCCTGGCCTCTTAGCAGTGCAGTTTAAACAAAATTATTTCCTCCCCACAGAGCCAAAGTGGGGTGTTAAGTATGTTGCACTGCGTGAAGAAACAGAAATAGCAGGGGGAGGAAGAAGAACAGTTACAAGAACCATGAGGTCTGGAGATGTGCCTTGATCAGATGCAAATATCATTCTTGTTTTGGAGTAATGATGGCTTTTACCAGACAGCTGTATTTAGGGGATCGGATTAATGGTTCTTCCTGGCCTTAAAAACCCGTGAGTCAATCACAGCTGAGACAGTGGCGTAGCTTTGGCAGATGTTAAGGTCTGAAAGCTTCAAAAACTTGCGTGAAATTTAGCTTTATATTCCCCAGCATGCAGATCAACTCTTTCAGAACAGGGGGATGGATATCAAGGTTTTCCCAGGAGGCTTTGGGAGGAGCGGCATTGCTCCACAGCTCCTTCAGGAGAGCTCATAAACCAGGCAGGACAGGGGCTCATAAACCTGCGGATGAGCAGGATGAGCTGTGGGACACACCTGCTGGCATTTCTTCTTCATACATGGTACAGGAAAAGCTGTTCTTGCTAAATTACTGCCTGGGTATAGTAAAGAATTCGATGGATAATCTTTGAAAAGCACTTTGAAGTTGAAAACGAAACCATGAAAAATCACTTCAAATCTTCATAAAAGCCTTTTTAAAATCCCATTTCCTATACCTAGACCATAAAGGGTTTTGCATTTGGTTTTGGGTTTTTTTCTAAACTGGAGAAAAGCAGACATTGTCCCCAGTCGAGGGTAGCAAAATCATCAGTTGGGTGCAGCTCTGGTTGGGGAAAAAGGTCACAAGCACAGAGAGCACTGACAAAACCCATCTGCGTCTTGTAAGGTCTGGCTACACACTGACGCACAAGCAAAGAGCATGTTCAAAGGAAAAAAGAGAGCTGTAAATCCAAAAGAAGGTTCATAGCAACTTTCTGGAATATACATAAAATAATCACCTTTTGCACCCAGGTATTTCTTGCAGAGGTGCTGTATGGGACTCTTTTGAAATGCCCTCTTAGCTATTCTACAGATGGAGAACAAAGAGATTTAGAAATCTTTGTCATTGGTGATGACACAGAGGAACTTCATGAATAGTTTTGAGTCAACCTGTGGCAAATTTATTTGCAAAATGAAACACTCATCTCCCCAAAATCCTTCAATCAAGAAACAAATGAGTTCTTTCTTCTTATTGATTTGAAAAAAAAATATGTTTCCATGTAGCCTTGAAATATCATTTTAGAAGAAAAAAAAACTCAAACATTCCACATTGAAAATGTCAAACAATTTTTTTAAATTGTGATTTAGTTACTAGCCTCAAGTCCTGTTAGTAAATATTTGCAATGAGTTGTTCTTTGCATGGTTTTTAAGAAAACAGACTTTTAAACAGCTGAATATTTTATACTTTTCAAATATGACCAGAGAAATTGCAGTATGGGAAAGAAATATGTTTTTAATCCTAAAGCTTTTACTATGAGACACCTAATTCTACAACCAAAAGGGTACTAAGAAAAAATTTTAAAATGAAGATTAAAAAAAAAAAAAAGAAACTGAGAAGTTATAGCAGAAAACATTTTGTGAATACTTCATCATGTTGGAAAGATATATGCAAAATAAACAACAGGTGAAAAAAGAACTGCTCATGAAAATGACAAAACCCAAAAAGATGTAAACGAATGGTGTGGCTTTGGGCTGAAAACAGTGCTGTCACTGGGATTCTGGAACAGCTCTGCTCTCTCTGGATTTAAAACCTAATTTTAAGGTGGCACTGAATTTATCAAAGGATTGCATAGCATTGACATTCTTGATGGCAGGAAGCAAAGTTCCTTCCAAGAGGTGACCCCGTGTCCCATATTGCTGGGAGCAGAGAGATGTACTCACACCCGTTGTCACAGTGCAGGGATGTGGGAGCAGAGCAAAGGGGAAGGGCACAAGGAAACATCTTTTGGGAGAGTCAGAGCCAGAGCTCACAGCTGAGATTCCCACTCCAACCCGAGGAGTTAGTCTTGTCTACCACAGTTTGAAAAGCTCTATAGGAAAATGCCGAGACTGGTTCAACAGAATATTGTATTTCAAAAGTGGCCTGATTTAATTTATAACTGATACAGCTCTAATTATGTGATTTGTTGGCATTTTGAGCATATTAGAACAACAATTAAAAATACAGCATAAAAAAAGCCCTGCTGGTGAGGCAGAAAATTAACATTATTCCAACAAAACAAGAATCTGTTTATCTATCAGTGCCCTGTAAAGCAAGGGGCACTTTAGAATAGCAAGGCCATATTCTACCAAATGCAAGGGACACTTAAATATAGAAATAAATGAACATCACATCAAAAGTGTTATGAAATACAAAGAAATACCACTGTTGCCCAACCCAAACTGCCCAGTTCTGTTCAATATACAGTATAAAAAGATAAGGTTTCTTTTCCAGCTCTGATCTTTTTTAGTTAGAAAAACACTGAGGCTTGCATGATTGTAATTTAAGTAGTTAGCCTCATTTGAAATGCCCTTTCTGTGAGGAAATATTTTTTTAAATTTATTCTTAATATTCCTTTTGCTAAGTTTATTCTGTTATGCTTTGGGAAATTTCACAATTCTCTTTTGCCTGTACAATATTTATAGCCATAATCTAACCCTCTCACTTACGCAGATGTCATCAGAATTCCCTTAAGCCCTAGATTAGCAAGACCATACTTTCCTGAATGTGGCTAGCATTTAAAAATGAGCAGGATAACTGATGATGTTTTATAAAGCACAAAATTACTTTTTGAATGTTTCACCCACATGCATTTGTATTGCTCTTTGAGCTTCAAGGAGGAAAGACATTCTTCTTGATATGCATAATTTAAAGTGGTTTTCTATTTCACACACAACTTTAGGTATTTTTTAGGACAATAAAGTATTTGAACACTAAAGCTCCCAGATTAAAAAAAAAAAAAATAAATATATATATATATATACATATATATATATATATATATATATATATATATATATATATGTCCCCATATGTTCCTCTTGCAGTCTGGCTGAGGAGGGATAAGTGTCACTGATAATCATGGGTACTCCACAGATAAACCCTTTTTCGCCACACTTTTCAGCTAGAGCTAACTGGATTTTAGCCAGAAGATGCAGATTTTTGAAAATTAAAGCCTTGGAACTTTTTGCTCCAACCCATTGATATTTACAAAATCTTATGGGTGCCACCAGACATAATTTCATTTCCCACTTGCTTTTCCTCACTTGGCAGTGGCCAGAAATCAAGAGGATGCAGTGACCCAAATCTGATGGAGGGTTGTATTTTGCAGCAGATAAAACAGGTCTGGGCACTTGAGCACCATCATCTGCCCTGTCTTGGTTAGCAGTCCACTCCTGGCATGGCTTGGGTTCATCAGCAGGAGCTCAGTTTGATCCCCACCATCATGCAGAGAAGTGCAGGAGATGCCCAGGCTCTTCGGGTCCATGTTTCATTGGGACAGTAAAGTTGCAGATGGAGTTAAAGGCAGCTGGTTGTGCAGTCTTGCTCTGATCCTGAACTGAGACATTTTCTTTGTCCTCATAGGAAATGTTTTGCAATCTTTCTCTCTTTTCTTTTCAAGGCACATCACTAGGCATGGCATGCAGTAGGGCAGGTCTCGGGTCCTTTACATCCATAAGTGAGGTTCTCTCGGTGGCATAGAGGTACCATTTGCATTTCATGTTTCTGACTTGCTGACCCTGACCAGTGCCTTTCTCATAGTGTTTCAGATTCAACAGGCCCTAAGCATCCTTAAATAAATCTTGAAAATACAAGCTCCTAATGACATGACAATTTATCATGAGAAAGAGATGAAATCCTTTTTCTTCTTTGAAGTCTTTTCAGCACCAGCCAGCTGCAGCCTAAAATTCTCCAAAGAATTTCCTCTTCTTCCCTGCCTTTCTGTCAATAGTACTGCAAGGGCTCACTCACACCAACAACCCCACTGACACTGTGTGTTTGACTCTGTTACACAGAAAGGCAGGCGAAAGTGCTCATTGGAGTGGCCTGGAGCCTCTCTTTCCTGTTTTCCATCCCAACTCTGATTATTTTTGGGAAACGGCAGCTCTCCAATGGGGAAGTGCAGTGCTGGGCTCTCTGGCCTGATGAGTCCTACTGGATCCCCTACATGACAGTTGTGGCTTTCCTGGTGTATTTCATTCCTCTGATCATTATCAGGTAAGTCCAAAGCCCAGTCAGCAAATGTGTGGTAAAAGCTGTCAAGTGTGCAATCAGCTTAATGCTTTAATTTCTACTCATTCATTACAATTTCATTTCCATACCTGCTGCATAGCTGTTTTAGTTTTTATCACATAATACACAGGTCATTGTACTTGCCCTGGGTGTTCTCTGTGTGGTATTAACAGCCAGAAACATTTTCTCTGAAAAAAGGAACAAATCTCTAAGTGTGTCCATTTATCTCCACAGCTTCAGGCTTGAAAGGTATCTTTATAAACCCAGTATGAATATTTATCCATCATTACAAAAGATAATTTTAATAGAAGAACAGGAAACTGCACTTAACACTAATTAAACTAAAATTAACTTGAAGTGCTCTTAAGCTTCACAGTACTCGACAAGTGTTCCTTCACCAGGATTGGAAAGAAATCTTCAAGTGCTGAAGTTGCCAACTACTCCTAAAATATGAACAAATGTAATTCTTCATGTTTTGTAATAGGAAACCTAAGCTGCAGATATTTGAGACTGATTTGCCTCAGATCACAAAGGCAATCTGCAGAAACTGTATTAACCTGAAGTCAATCAATATTACAGACTCTGCTTAGTGATCAGCCTCCCTCTAGAGCACTGCCATTAGCTGCCATTAAACAGAAGGTAACTAGCCATGAGGAGCCACTGATGCAAAAGAGCAGTCAAAATCAGATGTGGAAGGGGAGTGAGGCTTCCTAACTGCCTCAAAATGCTGCCAGTGTCAGTGACAGTTCTCAGAGCCATTATTTTTCTTTCTTTCACTAGCAAGGTTACAATCGTATTTCTTGGTGTCCATCTCTCCTTCTCAGCAGCAAGAAAGACTTGCTGGGACTCCTTTCTTCCCCCCATAATTTGGTGCTGCTTGGACTCTGAGAGAAGAATTATTTTTGGTTATCTCTTGGTCCATCTTCTTTTCCAACAAGTGATGAACCATGAGTCTCCCTTAGCTCCCTGCTCATTAGGACCCTGGGTGAGAGTGGGGTGGGCAGAGGTTGATCTCTTCTAGATGATGACAGGACTGACTACATAACCTTGAAGTTTATTACTATTTTATCACAGAGATTAAGTTCTGCAGCTTTTAATGGCAACAAGTCATTCTCTGATAGAATCAAATTCTCTGATAGAATCAAAACCACATGGTGCTTCAACTCATCTAGCTGACTTTTTGATACGGATTTAAAATGGACCAGTGTTGCTCCCTAGAGAAAAGGGATGATTTTTATACGTTGCTCATAACATGTCAGTTCACTTAACCTTCCATTGGTTGTACCAGATTGCATAGATATAATAAAAATTTAAAAATCAAGAAAGTTCTTCTTAAAGAAAGGACAGGATGAGAAGAAAGGAAAAACTACTCCCAAGTTATCCTTCCTAGGTGGTCTCATTTCTCTGCATGTTTTCCTGTCTCTGAAAGCCAGCCTAGCTTTCAATATACAAAAAATATTCTTGGGAATATGTAAATAAAAATGTGGGTAGATCTGCAGCTCAGCAGTAGCAGCAAAACCAATAAACATATACTGCACAGACAAAGAGCAATTTAACAGTGCAAAGAAAGGTACTAGAAAATTTTGAATCTGGCTGTTACTGTGAAAGGGGCTCTTTTATGAGCTTTCTTAAATGGGTAGCAGTTGGGAAATTCTAGCCAGCATCTTAAGTGTTTCAGGAAAAAAAACCCACAGCCTGCTCAATTACCAGTTGTTCCACAGGTGTGTGAAACATCTCCTTCACACTCTAACATACAGATTTGTGTGGTTTCTGTTACAGACCAACCACTCCTTTTACACACCATCTATACTGGTTTGGCAAGAAAAGGCAAGCTACAGAGCAATAAATATTTCAGAGCTGTTGACATTATGCTCCCCTCCTCCCTGCCAAAGAAAGATATTCAAACCAGATCAGCTCTGTGACTTGCTTTACAGTAAATCCCCAGAAGCAAGAAGGTGACGAAGACATGAGGGGAAAGAGAAAGGCAGTGAAACTGGCATTTCATGAGATTGCCCTGACATCTGAGACATGAATAAAATATCCTAAAATTTTTGTGGCTTTAACCTTAAGTAACATTCACACAAGAAATTTATGGCAGAACAGGAACTAAAATCACTGGTTTGGGGCAGTGCAGTGTCCATCACGTGCCCAGAAACATTCCTGGTTTCAGTGTTTATTAACACAAATGCTCCTGTGTCCTTGTTAGCAGAAGTCAGATTTTTGACAGGTCCAAAGTAGTGGCACTGGAAGGAAGGAAGGGGAGTGGTGCAGGGAAGGATTTATTTTCTGCGTATCTATTTCTAGTTGTCAGTGATACTATTTTCTTCAGAACAGAGAGGATTGTCTAAAACCACAGAAAAAGAGGATTAGCATTATGGCAAGGTCAGCAGAGACATTATGAAAAAAATGCAATTTGGAAGGAAATGGCTATTTTTTAGAACACTTTTAAAAGTCTCAAGCACAAAAGTGAAGGTTGCAACTTCCCATCTGATGAATCTGTAAAACATCTGGCAACATAGCCTGAAGGTGTGACATCTATTTCTTTAAAAATCATTGGCAGTCCAGGAGTTTAAAGCTAATCCACCTGATGTGGCTGCAGCCTACAAATACTCTGGTAAGCAGTTTGTGGCTCAAGAACAGCAGGAATGGCTGTTAGCACCCCCAGGGACTTGGTTTCTCTGTAAAAGTTTTGTTCTACCCAATACTTCCAGATGCACAGGAGGTTTGATGATAAATGAGATGCTGCTTTATAAGAGTGAGAGAGATCACATATGTTCCAGTGTGTGTTACTCTTACAAGAGATTATTTATAAAATGAAAGGTGCTATTTAATAAATTTTGGAGGGCATTTTTTTACTTTAATGACCTTTAGCCGAAGGCATTATTTTAAAAAGCCACAACATAAAAATGGAGAGAAGATCTATAAATGTGCAACTGAAAGGTCAAGGATCAGTAGAAGAAGCCATGAATACATATAAGCCAGAAGCTAAGTCATACACCACACTAGTGAGGAAGCGAGGCAGAGTGCACACAGAGAAAAAAACAAGACCTTTTCTGCAAGAATTCATATTGTTTGCGCAGCTGCTTCATTTTCTCTGCTGAAGCACTCTGATTTAGCTGCATGGCAGGTGTCTGATGCAATGTGGGACACTGGCTGGCAGAGTTAATTCTTAATTAGTTCTGCTGCCTGAATCTGCTGAAAACCTAACCTCTAGAGCAAAGCAGTTCACTGATGACAGCACTTTTTCTGGTGCTGTTCATCTGAAGTGCATACAAAGGATAAAATCTTACTTTTCAGGTGCAGGACTTAATTCCACACTAGATATGCTGCTTTGCCTGAGCTGATTTCACTTGTTACAGTTCAGACACCATCATCTTTTAAGCTTCTCTCATCCAGCCCTCAGCCCTCTCTGTAGAGCTGATCTCACATATTCCTGACAGCCTTCACCTAACTCACAGGAGTTGTGTTATTCATAATGCTGCAGCCCATGGAATGAATTATTTAGCTGATAACCTTATGCTCACAATGGAAAACCCTTTCACTGACAAGCTAAGCCCCCAGATGTGGTGTGAGCAAACTCTACAGATTCCAAAACATGAACAAGAAGAACACAGGATTCTCTCCTCCTCGCCCCTGCTTTTAAAAAAAAAGTATATATAGAAAGGTAATTTATGAAGAAAACTGCAACAGCCTGAAAGATCGTAATATTTCTGAGGTCTATTCCTACCACTTCTTCACAACTAGAGAAAGGCAATCAGTTATCAAAGAGCTTGTGGTTTTTCAGCAAGTTTTGTTTTTTATCTGATTATAATACCAATGAACAAGACCTGAATAATGAAAAAAAAAAATGAAAAGCTATGATTGGTATTTTTAACCCAAGTGTGTGGATATCATTGAGAGCTGAAAAAAGTGGCGAATATTTGTTATTTTCATATTAAAATGTCCCTTATCCCCACTGTCTCAGTGTTGTACAGGAAGAGCCACAGATCCTGAGTCAGGTATTTCTATACAGTGCTTAAAAATTTGACCTGTTCCCTCTTATTTACATTATTCTACCACTTTTTCTGCAGTTGATATTATCAACCTATGAAACCCCAGAAAATTAAAAAAAAAAAAAAGTAATTAGGGAACCTGCAGTAATTAGTTCTCTCCTCTTCTGAGACATGTGTCATCAGCTATTACCGAAGTCTTTTCTCCTATTCTGAAACACACCAAGCATAGCTCAAATGGTATCTGTGGTAATTGAAAACCTCTGGGGCACTGTTGAACAGAGGTTAAATATGGCTCAAATCAAGATCACACAATGCTCTCCCGGAAATATTTGCACCTGGCCCCCTCCGAACCTGTGATGGGGAGACAGAAGAGGTACTGTGTTTCTATTCTGCATTGCTACCCTGTGCCAAAATGTAATTATTTTCTGGCGGTTGAATATCCAGACATTCAGAGATTTTAGCTGTTATTCATGACTGCTAAATATATTTTTTATATTTTAATATTATAAATATAATACATACACATTTACCTTATATAATTGCAAACTCATATTTTAAAAAAAAATTGCTAAAGCTCCTCTTGAAGCACAGAGGAAAAATATATCCATCTGCTGTTTAAAATCTGAACTCCAAAGACAACATTTGCTTTGGAGCCGCTGAAAAATAATTAGAAGATAAAAAAAATCCCTCAAATTCAGCTAAAAGGAAAAATATGGAATTAAATCCAAGGCATTGCAAAGAAATAAAAAATATATTAAATAAAATGTATTTCTCTGAATTAAATCAAATAAAGGGACTGGAAATACCATTAATAAAAATACCAAAGGTCATTTTTTGAACTTGATTCAGTGAGGCTATTCTTTTTTGCCTGCAATTTCCATTTCTAAATAAAAACCCTGGATCTTGTGCATATGTTCTAATATCTGTCCATCTCTTCACTTACCCATTACATGTGCCTGCGCTGGTTTGTTCAGATGAGGTTACTTTTCTCTCTAGACAAATAGCATTGTAAATTAGCTGCCATTAAAAAAAAGCAGCTGCATCACTTTGCACAAATAAAGTATAAAGAAAAATAGGCAATACTGTATGATAAATAGAAGTAATTAACAGGGAGCTTAAGTGCACTTTTGCCATGGTAAAGCCTCATTTCACTAGAAAATACTGAGGCTGTGTGGGATGCCATCATAGTGCAATTATTTTTAAAAAATCTGCATTTAAAGAGTGAGCAGATCAATAACACTTATGATTGTTAATATCAGTACATAGATTTACCAGAAGACATTTTATTAAAAAAAAGTGGCCTATAAATTAAAAATACAGATGGAGTGCAACTATTCACAGTTGCATTTGTATGACTAACCAAAAGTTACATATTTACATGGATAAAAATGCTGTAATTACCAATGAGGCATATTGAACAACACCATTAACTAAAGCAGGCTAAGATGGACGTGCCTCTTAATCCTTTAGAATTTGGATCAAGGTAAATTGTTTTTGGAGATGCGAAGAATTTCATTTCTGAGACACACCCATAATGTGAGCTTTTCAGAATAGCTTGGATTAATTTTCCATCCAGGTTTGACTTTTCCACCTTAGTACCTTTTCATTAGTCTCTCACCTACAACCTGGGCTGGAAGATCAGTGTGCTGTGCACTTAGACAGACACAAAGGTGCCTGACAATGCCTGAACCTCAAGAGCTGCACATCCCATCTCCCAGTGGGGACAAGGGCAAGCAGCATGCAGGCGTGTTACACGGGTTAAAAGAAGAGCTTTGTGGCAAGGTGTACCATGTGCTTTTATGTCCTGGCAGTGAAGGCTGAGCGGTTCAGCGACCAAAGGAAGGAAACAGAAATTAGGATATGGTTGGAATGCTGCAGACTATTTCCAAACACTCCTCTGAATACCAGTTTGTCATCTCTTTCCTGCTACTCCTTGCTCATCTGCCACTCCATTTTCCAAGTGAGAATTTAGAGATTTGACCAACCTCTGCATCCTCCTCCAGCCACCTTTCACAAGAAAGAAAGGAGCAACAAATGTATTGTGTAAAAAGCGGATTTTCTCTCATAAGAAAAATACTTCTCTTCCATAAGAGCCTTCTTTTTACTTCTGTGGCTTTGTAACACCCATGCAGTTGCCTATTGTGATCTTATGCTTTAGGTAACATATTTCTGGAAAGTCTAGTTTCTCAGCTCTATGTCAACATTGCTGGGAAAAAAAAAAAAAAAAGAAAAGAGGTTTGGCACTACTACAAACTGGAGTCCCAGAGAGATCAAATTGTAAATTAATAACTGTGGTTGGCACAAGAGCTGCTCAGAAGTTTACCTAGCATGTAAACTTTCCTGACACCCACTCTGACCAGTTTTACACCACCTCTGGTTCACTCCTGATAAGGAAGGCTCCACCGGCTTCAGCTACAGAAAAAAAGAAAGATAAACAGAAGCAAAAACCCCGACACAGATCCACTATGTTGGTAGCACTTTATAAACTGTTGGATGAAAACAAGAATTCAACTTTCCTCTGGAGTTCTAAAAATTAAGGATTCAAATAAATCAGCATGTTTGAGTGATTACATTTCACTTACAGGTGAAATGCCAATGAGAAGACAGATGATGTAACTGTATCTGGCAAAAGACATGCCCCTACCAGACTCTGCAGCCAAGAGGACAGGAATTCTGGGGTCAAAGGGAAAGCAAGTGAGAAGCCTGGGTTCATAATTCAATCCTTACAGCATTTGGCCAAAGGTAGGGAGTCTGAATATTTTGACTACAGAGTTAGACTCCTTTGTCCTGATGCTGAAGAAACTCTGGATACTATGTGCTGGACAAAGGAAAATCTGCATCAGAGAGGACATTGTTTCAATTGCAAATAAAGAGGTCAGGCTAGAGACAGCAGGCTAGGAAGAAAATAGAAACAGAACTTTTAAGAGTGAGATGGTAGCATTTTTGAGATGACAACAATTATCATTATAATACATTCTGATTCATTGGAACAATCAAAGGAGAAATGGTACGTGAATTTTCCACTATTGTCTGCAAAAAGTACAAAGAAACTCTCAAGTTTCAAGTGTATGAGCTGTTAAATAAACAGGCTCTTGAAAAGCCAGGAGATAAAAGGAAATGTTCAAATCAGCTGGGAGCCAAGCTGGACTTTTGAAGGGATTAAGTAAAGCAAATTGTAGTCCACGGCAGATGTGAGCAAACCCCTCACTGGGCAAGGACGCTACTGCTCCTCTGTGCAGCCCAGACTGCACCTTGAATTTACTGCTCTCACCTGCTGAGCCTGGAAACCAGATGGCTCAAACTTCCACAGAAAGGAAAACCTCCAAACCTTCACAGTTTTTTGAGCACAAATTCTGCCCTTGCAAGCAAGTCTAGCAATTGAGGGTGGTGTAGGAAAGACTCGTATATCAGTCTGAAAGGACTAATAAGTATAATGCCACTTGTCATAACAAAAATAAGCCACCTAACAGTAAGACACATTTTTGCCTCCATAAAACACCCTGAAGTTATGTCCTTCATTGCACCTTTTTCACATGAGGACCACTAAGGTTTCTGATAATTAACATCCTCAAGCAGGACATGGGTTTAAACAATGCTTCTTCTTGAAGGAATTATTTTTATCCATTCTATATTAAATCAGTAGAAGTCCAGATAGGCTCTTGCACAGGGAAAGTCCATAACTATCCAAGGTCACTGTGTACTAGGGCACTTTCCATCTTTCATACTGAAGGTATATAAACCTCTTTAAATATGCAAATTGTGGTGGATCTGGTTTTGAATTATCTAACTCTTCCTATTTATCTAATACTTCAGTCCTCCTTGATTTCCACCACAGGACCCTGAGACCCAAACTGAGCACTGCTGTATTTATTTGCATGTCTCATGGATCTTGCCCTTATCAAATTCCCCAGGGTGAAATTTTGTTCACCATCTTCAAACCCAAAAAGTAACAGCAAAATTGAAGAGTACATACAATAAAACCAGGTCCCTCCCTTGCTTCCCTCATAAGAGCTAGTGTTCCAGGGATGATACTGAGATGGATTTGGCATTGGCTGGCTCAAAATCACCAATGAGCTCTTGCCTGAAAGATTTTTGGCTGAATCACTGCATTCCTCTGAGCCTCAGATTTGACATCCACAAAGTCAGGACAACCACAAGGACTTCTATGGTAAAAAGTATTCAGATCTCCTTCTGAAAAATACTGTGGGAGAGTCATGTCATATTTATTATTATTATTATTGTCATTTAGTATTATTATTCCTATGCAGTCCCACTACCTCTGTGAACTCCTTACACATAGACAAGTGTATTCTTAAAGCACAAATGACCGAGATGTCTGTTAAATTTATTGTGCCTAATACCAGCAACTTTTCCCCTTCTGCAGCGTCATATACTCAATTGTGATTCAAACCATCTGGATGAAGAGCAAAGCTCAGGCTGCCATCATATCCAGCTGTCCTGGTGAGTCTCAGCATACCTGTGACTCCAGCTTTGTGATTCAATTCCAGCTGATCCTCACAAATCTGGGAGTGCTTGGACATGCACATGTGATGTTGGGCCCCCATCACTGCATTGGGAATGGGATTTCTGTATTTGTTCATTCATAACTCATTTCTACATTATTTACCTTCTTTACTTTGACACTAAATTCTCTTTAGAGACATAATAGGAAACATCTGTGAGAAAATGAATAAAAAGTAAAAATTACTTAGTCTAGAAGTTAGAATTCCTGTTCTTAGAACTTAAACCATTTCCAGAATAGGTTTTTTCTAGCATATACTCAGCAACACTTTTTCTGTGTCTTCACATGTCCTTGCAAGTCTGAATTTTGCTCAAGATCAGAAATTCCTAGCTACAGAAAGCTATAAAATGATTGGAATATTTTCCATCCCAAGACTACACAAGCCTCAATGCTTCAGAGAGATCTACTCTGCTTACTTATTCTCTTTTTATTTTGGGTGGCTCAGGTTTTGATTGCCCAACTTGAGCAGACTTGCGAGTGTCCAAATTTCAGGAACTGCTGAGGTCCTGACTGACAACATGGAAAGATGAGATTGTGTATTCCTGTCCTGCCTGTCAAGGTACACACTGACACATGCACACACCAGTCCTATTCTTTCACTAGCTGAACTGTTCTTTTCCCAGGTGGCAAAACCTCCCGTGGCTACACCAGTCGTGGGTTCATATCCAGGGCAAAGGTGAAAGCGATCAAATACAGCATTGTAATCATCCTTGGTAAGTGAAAAGCCCCAGAGCTGGTAGCTAGGGAGGATGCTGACATTAGGAAGCTGTTTTTCCTCAGCAACCTCTGTCATCAGCAGGCAAAGTAGAAGGAGCTTTACTCAGATACCTGACTTGCCTTCTGATCTTGCTCTTCCCCTTTTTTCTGGCTGATATGTTTCTATTTTATGTATCTGATATAACCCTTAAATTAAATTAGATATGCAGCCCCTCGTGTGCATAAAGAAAGAGACAATGTCTAAAAGGAACAAAGGAAGAGGTCATATCTTTCCTATCCAGACTGCCAAAAGATTTGGCAACTGAGTTGTCCTTTAGGCTTAGAGACACTGCATGCCTGTGAGCTGCTGGGGTGGTGCAAGGAGAGAAGAAAGGTGAGATGTGCAGCAATTGTATTTGATGTCACAGTGTTGTTACCTGCTGAGATGGAAAGCATGAGCTCTCCTTTCCCAACTGGGCAGCAGATGACTTCTCTGTCTCCTAGGGAAATTACATTATTCTGATGCAATTAGGAGGCTGATACTCTATCTCAATAAATAAAGACAGCATCACACAGAGCTTGTGATTAGCTGCCAGAGACAAGCAGGAAAGGAACCAAAGCAGTCAACCAAAGGGCTGACAGTCATCCCTTGACACTGAAAAAGAGATTGCTTCTCTTTCCAACACTGTGCAAAATTCAGATTGAAGAATACTGTGATAACAGCCACTTGAATAGCTTAGCTCACTGTCTAGTGGCAGCATTTGCAGACATGAGAGAAGCCAGTGTGATTCATACTTTTCATAAGCCCAAGAACAACTTCTCTGTGTCTGAACTTTTCTGCGTGGCAATCAGAGAAAGATTTTGGCAGACACAACTACTATTTCAAGGCCATCAGATGTTGAGAGCTCACATGGATGCTCAAGTATTTCAGCAGACCTTGATAATATTAGGCACCCAGCACCTCCTGATGTGCAAACAGATTGACACCTAACATCCATGGATTTTTTTAAAGCCACTTAAAGTTCTCCAGAGTGAGTGCTATGATCCACACTCTGGTACTGTGTATTGTTATTTTGCATATATCTGTGAACAGACACCTCCTGTTTGGTTGTTCTAGAAAACAGGAAGGGAGTTTACCTCTTCCTTGCACTTTTAGTGAGCACTCAGCTAACTGCCAGCAAAGAAATTCTGATTTATGTGATAAGAAAACAGGCACAGGGTTACTCTGCTATCTCATCTGGGTCAGGATGTGATCATGTGTCTGATTTCACAATTACCTTTATGTTTGCAACCCAAACAAACATATAGCCTAATTGAATGAACTGCCTCTCTCAGCATTTCTATGCAAATACTGAATCAAAAGCCTTTGTGAGAAGAGATGACATAGAAATTTCTGAGAGACAGATTTATTCGCTATGCCTGCAAATAAAGCCAAATCTGTGGCTAACCTGTTTTCCCTGCCACCTCTGAACAAAAGCAGAAGCTATGAGCAGTACAGCTCTCTTTTCCCCTCCTCAAATTCATCTCCCAAATGGCAGTATGGGAAATTAGAAGAATCTTCCTGCACACTCCATGTACACAGGATTTCCATCCAGCATGCCAAGTGACATGTTGGTTTGCCATAATGCAGTGTGAAAGGGTGTCATTCCTTGCTCCCAGGTGTCTAAGAACCTTATTTTAATAGGTGGCTGTGACAGGCAGCGCTGTCACAGAGCAGCACTTTGGCTGTGTGTACATTTAGATTGGCTGTTCACTCTGGGGACCATTAAAAGAGCACTTCACTATAACTGATGATGCTTTAAGTGGCTACCTATTTACCCTTTATGTGTTGTGTAGTGTTCAGAAGTGTCCCAATATGTCTAGAGGGAGCACTCTAAACACTTACAGAAACACACGTAATATATTTTATAGGCATTAAAATAAAAGTAAAGACAAATAAAAGCACAATCTAATAACTATTCTCTTAAATAAGATCCTGAATGAGGAGAGGGTTGTTTTTTGGTTTTTTTTGTATGAACAAATATTTATGTGTTATGACAGTTTCTCCATGAGTATGCAATTACCTCCCTAAATTGCTAAACTACCCAATGTCAAGCTCTTCCTCTCTCTGTCTTGTCTGCAGCATTTATTCTCTGCTGGAGCCCTTACTTTCTTTTTGATATCCTGGACAACTTCAACATACTCCCTGAGACCAAAGAGCGCTTCTACGCATCTGTGATTATTCAGAACCTGCCAGCCTTGAACAGTGCTGTCAACCCCCTCATCTACTGCTTCTTCAGCAACAGCCTCTGCCCCCCTTCTGAGTATTGCTCCTTTACTCTCACTCTGACTACCCCTAAGAAGGGAGGGGACACATAAACCCAGTCCCTTAAATTATTAACTATTTTTGACTTCTTTAATTCTGACCATTATTTGGTGTTTTCTTGTAGGGAAAGAAGAACTCAAAGGCTGGGGGGGACTTTCCGGGAAAGGAGCGATGGAGGGCAGCAGATGCAGGTCCTGTCAAAACCAGAATGCATCTAGCACAAACAATGTTCTGCAAAGCCACACTGGCACCTGCACAGAGGAAAACATAGGTCCCCCACAAGCCCTGTGAAGTGGATGGACACTTACTGGCAGGAGCCTGCACCTTGTGCTCTTGTGCACCTCATAGACATGTGTTTTGGGTGGGCACTGCAGCCTCATTAAGTGCACACTGCCAGTGCCAAGGTCAGTATGAGGGGTTTGCATGCCTCTGTTGTGAGGCTTCATCTTAACCCTCTGTTTAAAGCAAGCTGTAATCTATGTGCTCCAAACAGAAAAAATAATTGTAAATGGTGTAAATGGTGTCTAGTCAGAGTTTTCTCTACTTTTCAGGAGTCACTAAAAGCCATCTACTGCACCATCTGGCTCTTATAACTGATAGAGTGTTTACAAGCAATTACAAAGCAAGGACTCCAGCTAAAATGAAAACACAGGCACTTTTCCAATGAGAAAACACCATTGTCACTCTATGTAATTATATCTGGGTTTCATACAGAGCCACTTACAAAGTCATAGCCAGAGAAGACAGGAATGGATAGCTGGGATACTGCCTGCCACATCACCTCACCCAGTTTCTCAGCTCACACCAGCAGCACTGTCCCTGTATCTCTTCCTCCCCTTCCAGTGTGATATTTCCCTGCTGTCCTACCTTGGCACACCAGTGGCTCCCCAGTGCTCCAGCAGGACTCACACATGACACATCTGGACAGCCATTTATTTCTGGGCTACTGGTGAATGGTTCACAAACTCTTCCCAAAACCCATGTTGCACCCCAGGCAGATCCTTCCTCACTTCTGTGGCAAAGGCCCTGAGCAGCCTCCAGGATCCTATGGGGAGCTGCCATGCAGGGCACAGATCTTTCTCACCACCCACATGCCAGCATTTCCCTATCCTGTACCACTGTAAATCATCCCTCTCACTTAAATCACGCAAGGAGCCACACACATCTTTGCACAAACTCAGAGCTGGAAAAAGACCCAAGCAAAACCACAAAACATGAATTAAATTTAGAAAAAAAAAAAATCTGTTGATGGTCCAGTCTTGTGAACTCATTGTAGATTTCACAGGGGACCAATGGTCATGCAGAACCTTGCTGCTGAGCACCCAAGCACCTGGGCATCCCCTTTCCCCAGCCCTCTGAGCATCTTCCCACCATACTGTTCTCAAATGTAAGAAAAAATTGCTCATGCAGGTGTGGGGAGGGGAGGTGGTATGAATTTCAATGTTCATTTTACTACAAGGTAGCTTGAAGTGTTTGTATTAAAAATGCACTCTAACCAGCTGTATGGCAACTGAGTTTGTTACCTCTCAGTGAAAAAATTCTTCTTACTTAAGTGGACTCAGTTTAAAAAGGGGCTTTTATTATTATGATCTTTTGCAATGAGTTTGCTCCCTGTAAAGCAAGAACTGAATAAAATTTATTTATAATTACCTGTATTACAAAAATACATTTTCCTAAGTAGGAGACATATAAAATCATGGGGCTTTATGTTCTCAGGAAAATAAATAAGGTATCTCTTTTTATTACCGTGAAGTTCTATTATTTAGATTCTATGTCTAAATTTTGCTACTGCTTAATTAAAACTATGAATCTGCAGCAGCCTTTACTGCAGCGACTTTGGATAGGCTGTATATAAGAACAAGACAATATTCCCATGGGCATGTAATAACTTTCCTAAAATTGGACTGGTTTTTTTAAGCTTCATAGATTGTGGATTTCAGCTTTTTCATCTAATAAATGTACACTCACTACCTACTTTTGAACAATTAATGGAGTTTTTAGACTTAATACCTGGAAATCAGATAACATTTCTCAGCAGTACTTTGATTTGCAAATTGAGTATGACTCAATCCCACCAAAATTTACATAATATTCACTGGGGTCACCACATGAATTATCCCATCCATCTAAATTAGGCATATGCATGAGTTAATGTAGGACTCTGAACTGAAATAAAGTCGTTTTCCGTTTATTTTCAAAGAAACAGCTTTTTGTTTTGAATGAAACAAAAATTATTGTACTATGTACCATTCACAAGTTGTTCTTACGATTTTTTCCTCTGGACATGATTGTGATGTATTTCCTCATATGAGAATTCTCCAGTTTAAATGGCCCCACACTGCTTTTGTCTGCATCCCTTCCAAGTGCTTAAATACAGAAATAAATAATTCATTTTATTTTCTATGCTGCTTTCTTACTGTGCAAAAGATGGCATTTTACTACCTTTTTCTATTCTCCACATCTTCAGTTGTAAAGCTGAGTTTTCCCATTAGTCTGGAAAACACTCGCATGGTCCTCCTGTGTCTCTGGGAGAGAGATTTAGGCAGTTTCATCTGTCTCCAGTAGGTTTCTTATTCCTTGTCTGCAACTCGCTCCACATCTGCTGAACTTTTAGTTGCTCAAGGTGCCAGAGTTGCTCTGACAGACCCCACACTTAGGAGGAGGCAGGAGAAGTCAGTGTCGAGGTCTGATAGCCCAGAGAGGGGGACTGAGCACAAGGAAAGGGCATCCAGCTGCCTTGTCCATGACAGCCCAGGAGGAACTCTGGTTTTCAACAGCTTTAATGCTTCAAAAGGCATCTGTGAGATCCTTCTGACATTCCCACAGTGAACAGAAATATTCATATGCACGACTGCTAGGACATAAAGCCTTGTATGATGATAAAGTCCTGTTTGTGGATTCCTGAGCAGCATGAAAAGTATTTATCTCTCAGAGAAGTCACATCAAACAGCATAGTACTAGGATACTTTCCAAATTAACGCTAATCCAAGAAAACATGTATGCTTTCAGTGCAAGTTTCAAATAAAATCTGAATGAGAAAGCCATTTAATTATCTTTTGTATATTTTTGATGTAATTTAAAGTTATGTTCTCTTGGACCAGATTTCCATCTCTTGCTAAAAGTGTAAATTGTCTTTCAGTTTGGTTTTACCTCAGAAATTTCTGTCTCCTTTTTTTTGTTTTTACTTTAAAATCTAATGCAAGGCAGCAAAACTCAACATTGCCCATTGTGACCATTGAAGAACATCAAACCAAAACCTTACCTAGAAACACGTTTCACCCTCCTGAACACTGCCAACCCAGTGCTTAGAGGTGCAAATATTATCAGTCCAAGAAAAGAAAAATGTAGCCATTACTTTGTTGTTTGTAGATTTGAGGCTCTTTTTGAAAGATTTTTTTTTATCATGGAAAAATAATTACAATTTTGAGATGACACAGGATGATTTGACTTCTACAGAGTAACAAAAAAATTATTCTTACACATCTTCAATTTTTGTGAGGTATAAATGAATGAAGATCTATACTTTACAAGTTACCTAAGCATGTAAATATTAATTGTTTTAATGGGAATCAAGCACATGTCATTATGGAAGTATGTTTTGGAGTATAAGGTATTGCAAGCACCAGACCCCTCCTAATAGCAGTCTCTAATGACACAAATGCAGAAGGAAAAGCAAGTCTAATACTTATTTTAGTTCAAGCCCTGGCATTTCAATAACAGAAATCTTTATGTCTATTCAGATTACATATTTTATTGACAATACATTATGCAGGAAATCAGGAAAATCCTCTCTCAAACCATAGGGTCCTATGAAAAACAAAAGAACAATAACCCAACTGAACCCTGCACAGCACTGGCGAAGAATTTCTCAAGATATGAGCACTTTGGGGTAACTATGAGCCAAGATTACTGAGAATAGTCTCTTGGCTCTCTTTACAGTGAATATGCTTGTTGATAAGAGGCCTCAGGTTCAGTGGCCCTTCAGAAGTGCTAATTCTCTGATTGTGCAGATATGTTTCAAACAAGAACACAGAAGGCACCACACTACCTGCCACTTCACTTTACCCTTCATGAGGACTGCATGTACTTTTCATAAACACTTGATGGAAAAAGAGCACAAAGAAATTGCAGAAAGCACACACACACACACACGAATAACAATATACATATATGCTATGGGCACAAGTGCCTTTTGTCATCAAGAGAGGAATCATTCCACAAATAAAAATAAACTGGTGTAGAAGATATCTGTGTACACCTTCCAACACAGAGTCTTGGTACTTACAGGAGAAGGGATTTTACTTTATTCATCAACCTTGAGAAATGTGATTAATTTGTGGAGTAAATGCAATATTTAGTGAATGATAAAATATGCTTCATTTTCTTTAGCAAACTAATTTATTTTACACAATGTTTAATTTAGACAAGCATTATAGCTGAATGGCTCATTAGATAATCTTTTGTCATTTTTGATGGCATCTTATTCTGAGTATGCATAAAATATGGGGTTAGAGGGTTAGGTATACAAACATGCATGAATTTACAAATAGACTTTCCTAATTCTTCAGGCTGAGTTGGTTACACTGGTACATAGTTAGAATCTTAGCTGTTGATTTAGTCCCAAGCAAGGCAAATGAAAATAAGTTAAAATTCAGCAACTTTAATAAACTCAGTAAAAATGCAGAGTCTGAGGCATCACACAGAAAGATGACCCAAATGATGACTTCAGGACACAAATAACAGAAATGTGAAAAGTACAACACTATGTTAACAATTATGAGAAATTCTGTTGTAAATTGTGAACCCTTCAGCTGGAAATGTCTGAAGAGAAGAAAGCATTGAGCATCCTCAGCCAGAGGATGCCTGGTTACTGACACCATCATAGCCAGTGGGGTCAGGGGGCTAATATGATCTCCACAGGTATCTGGTGAAGCATTTGTCAGAAGAGCTCTAATATTGTGTGAGTGTCACTGTTGCTCTCTGATGAGACCACTCAGTGTTAAAAAAGAGAAAGAGGGAACATGGAAAATAACAATCTGAGGTTTTGGTTTGTTGAGGCTGGTAAAATGGAAAGTTGGAAAGGGGTATTTCTGGTGCCTGTCAAGACAATAATGTCAGTGACAAAAGGAGGAAAAGGAAAAAAACTACTTTAAAACATATGTCTGCAACAAACCCTGCCCCCTGGAATAATATCACTATGAATAAATTTAAATCAATTAATTTAATGCAATAATCAGCCTACCCAGACCTTGATGAATGGGTTGGAAACAAGCTTTTGGGTTATAAGAGAGCCTTCTAGTTTCTGCTATGGCTGTTCATTGAGATCTAAATCCACAGCAAGACAAGGCAAGGTAAAGCTTTCTCTACAAGCTTTTCAAGAGGACCAGGAGTCGTTCCTCTCATTTTGGATCTTGCTAATAGCCATGCCTCTCTAATGGTGCAGCGAGGAAACCTAATATGAATAGTGTCAAAGGGAACTCTATTTAGAGAGACAATATCCTCTTAAGTCAAACTGAGAGAGCTGGAAAAGCCAATGAACTTTCAGGCATGACCATGCTCTCCCCATTGCTGCCCTAACAACTCACATCACAAATTTCAGGAAAGTACAAGGTAGCATCTGGCCTTTTTGATTGAGTTCAGGCTTTCAGTCTGAGATCAACACTGATGAGAGCAGAGTTATACAAGCAGTGCTCTTTGACGCTCAATCCTCTGTCCTCTTTGCCCAAGACCCTCACACTCTTCTCACACAACAACCTTGTGCTAGAGCAGCAGCCCACAGCTACACTGGTGGCTTGCAAACAACCTGGATCCACTCACCACTGTGTTTCCATTCTACTACCTTCACACATGCTCATGGTTTTACAAAGAAGTGACTAAAAGCCTGTAATTGCATAAGTTATGTATGGAGTGATAGGAGAACAGCCTCCTGGGCAGGAAAGACTAATGCCAAAGGGAAAAATTCCTGTAACTGTAAATTGATGAAGTGTCCTCAGCTTAAAGGATTTGGATCTCTTAAATGCTTTACACAGAAAATTAAACATAAGTCAGACTCCCTTGATCATGCTAAAAGCCAAAAGGCACTTCACATAGTTTCTAGGGAGTGAAAGGAGACTTTAAAGTGATCAAGTAGCAAAATATCACCAAGTCCCATTTGGACCTCCTGGCTTAATCTTCTCCTTGGGAGAATTATTCCAAGAGAGCTTTTTAAAACCTAGACAGGGGAATTACAGATTTGTATATATGTAATGTAGGTGGAAGAAGCATACTCAGTTTTAATATGGCACCAAAATAGCAATTTAAAGGTGACTCAGCATTATGGTGTTTATGAGATGCCGTGGGTGTCAGATAGCTCATAGTAGAAAGTCAAATGTCATCAAACACTTGGCAATTCCCAGAACATTCCCCAAAGAATGGGCTGGCAATGTGGGACAAGGTGTAGGGTCATCTGGACATAGTTTTTGTCAATCAAATTCTTGTAGAAAATTATTATTATATTATTATTTTTTGCATGCATAGAACATTTGCTGAATAAAATGGTAAAGAGAGGCACTTCAGCATCACCATGGCCTTGGCTACAAGGTTAAGCAGCATGCTTAAGCAAGGTCTTAATGTAGCTTCTCAGAGCCAAAATCCCCAGGGCTAAAAGAAAGACATTTCCTGACTTACACTCCCCAATGGTGTCCATGGTTCCACTCTATGGTATTGACCCCTCAGACTCTTCTCATGACTTCCCATTCTAGGG